ACTAGGGAGTCCTTTCCCCATGGCTTTCTTTTGTTTCCTTTGTCAAAGGTTAGATGGTCATAGGTGTGCAGCCTTATTTCTGGCCTCTCTATTCTGTTCCTTTGGTTTATATGTCTGTTTTTGTACCAGCACCATGCCTTTTTGGTTACTGTAGCCCTGTAGTATAGTTTGAAGTCAGGTAACATGATGAGTCCAGGTTTGCCCTTTTTGCTTAGGATTGCCCTGGCTATTTGGGCTCATTTTTGCTTACATATGGATTTTAAAATAGTTTTTTTTTGCAGTTTGATAAAGAATGTAATTGGTAGTTTGATAGGAATAGCATTGAATTTCTAAACTGCTTTGGGAAATATGGCCATTTTAATGATATTGATTCTTCCTGTCCATGAGCATGGGATGTTTTCCCATTTGTGTCATCTCTGATTTCTCTGAGCAGTGTTTTGTAATTCTTTTTGTAGAGATCTTTCATCTCCTTGTTTAGTTGCATTCTTAGGTATTTTATTCTTTATGTGGCAATTGTGAATGGAATTGCTTTCCTGATTTGGCCCTTGGCTTATCTATTGTTGAATACCAACTTAATTTAATAGTATACAAATTCTAGCCCTTTACAACTCTGTTGCCCCCTTTATGCTGTTATTGTCGCACATTACATCTTTATACATTGTATACGCCTTAATGCAGATTTATCACTGTGGCTTTATGAATTTTTGTTTTAAATTAGATAGTAAATAAAAAAGTTTTAAAAAAACTAAAACACAGTATTGCTTGCTTTTGTAGTTACCTATGTAGTTACCTTTACCAGTGTTTTTTTGTTTCTTTGTATAGCCTTGGTTACAATGAGTGCCCTTTCAGTTTTTCTGGAGAATGCCCTTTGGCATTTCTTGTAGGGAAGTTCCACTAGTGATCAGCTCCCTCAGTTTTGTTTATCTGGGAATGTCTTATTTTCTCTTTCATTCTTTGAAGTATAGTGTTGCTGGATGTAGAATTCTAGTTGTAGGTGGACAGATGTTTTTATTTTTCTTTTAGCAATTTATGACATTTCACTGCCTTTTAACCTCTGTGGGTTCTCAAGAGAAATAAGCTGTTAGTCTTATTATTTTTTGTATGTAAAAAACCACTTTTTCTGCTTTCAAGATTTTCCCTTTGTCTTTTGACAATATGACTATAATGTGTCTTAATTGTGAATATCCTTTAGTTTATTCTATGTGGAGTTCATTGCACTTCTTGGATGTTAAATTCTTATTTTTTACCGAATGTGTGAAAGTTTTTAGCCATCATTTTTTTCAAATGCTCTTTCTGTTTGGTTCTCTCTTTCCCCTCACTTTGGATGCCCTGTTATGTGTATGTTAGTATGTTTGGATATAGGCTATATATTAGAGTGTAGGCTTTATTATTGTATATATTAGAGTGTAGGCAGCTGTCCTCACAGCCTCTGCTGATCTGGAATGTGGAAGATGGCAGGCAGCCAATTTAAAATGTCACAGTGTCCTCTTACTACAAAGTATCAGTTCTTTTCTTCACCAAGTCTTCCTCTCTGGTTGTTGTAACAATTTTACTAGATTCCAGAGTTCTTCAAAAGTTTTTTCTGACAGTTTTTGCCCGCTCATTAGTTGCTTTTGAGGAGGGATGTAAGTCTGAAGTACTCTCAGTTTGGGTGTTCAACATTATTCATTCTGAGGTTAAAACATAAAAATATCTATGATGTAATTCTACTCAAAAGGTAGAAATTCTTCAAAGAGAGAAGAAATAAAAACTGATCAGGCAGAAAAAAACAGAAGAAACATTTTCTAGAAACCAAGTTTCTCTAGAAGTAAAAGGTATCCATTCAAGCCTATAGGAATCATGGTATTACCACATCTAAAATAGTTTTGTGTCATTCATATGACAAACAGGTAAATGTATCAGACCTGACTAGTAACTTATTGTAACAAACTCCTAACATAATTCCAATGGTTTTTAAACCTAACTCAGAAATAACTGCTGAGGTTTGTAAATATAAATTTCTGCACCTCTACCTAAAGCTTTGTTATGTGAAGAGAGCCCTGGAATCTATATTTTTATTATGCTTCCTAAGTCAGTATTAAGATCATCCGGGTTTGAGAAGGATTGCCTTAAAAGTTAATGAATGCCTGTTGTGAGTAATTTTTTCAAAGCAGTAAATAAAGACTGGCCTGATTAGCTTTCTTTCAACAGAAGACACTCAGAAATGTGTCTCGGTTCCCTCTTTCAAATTCTTTTCTCTCTCCTAACCTAGAATCTGAGAAACAGCTAAGTGAAAAAGTGGGGGGAATCAAAGTCATTTATTTTGACATTGAATAAATTATTTCAAAACCATCATATGTAACTCTGGGAACCATAACATTTTTTAAAAATCAGAATTCTTTTGTCCTAAACTTATTGTAAAATGTAATCTGACTAAACAATTTCTTTTTTGTAGAAAAATGATAATAAATTGCTAACGATAATTAAGTACTTATATGCAAAGCACCCAAGTGCTTTACACATATTTTGTTACTTAATCCTTATAACAATCTGATAACATAAACAATTTTATCTTCATTTTACAGGTGAGGAAACTGAGGCATACAGTGATTAATTAACTTGACCAAGGTCATAGAATAAGTGTCAAGAGCCAAAATATGAATACATGCCAAAGTATATGCTGTACATCATTATAATAAACTCCCTTCCCAAACATATCGTTAATTCTAAAAGATCTTCATGTTGTAAGTGAGCACTCATCTCACTGGACTCCTTATATTTTCAAACTTCGTACTCTCCTTTCACAAATCCCTTTTGAACTGTACTAATTCTGTAGCCACTAGCCACATGTGGCTAGTAAACACTTGAACTGTGTCGTCTGGACTCAGATGTTCTGAAAGCATAAAATATACACCAGCATTCCAAAACTTAGTTTAAAAAAAGAATATAAACTATCTCAATAATTTTTATGTAGCTAACATGTTGAAATGAAAATGTTATGATATATTGGTATAATATATTTTTTAAATTAAGTTCACTTGGTATTCTTTAGCTTAAAAAAAATGTTCCTATTAGAAAATTTAAACTACCTGGCTCACATAATTTCTATTGGATGGCACTGCTGTAGAGTTTCTTCCATGTCCTTTCTACGATTGTTGACCATTTCCATCTAGCCCCAAATTAGGCTTTTTCTTCTTGTACATTTCTGTGAACACTACAGTATGCACCTATTTAAAGGAAATTATAAACTATGCTTTAGTTTTAACACCAGTTGTCTGTGATGAAAAACCATTCCATATACACCACCCTTTCTTAACTTTTCTCCATACCTACTTGCAAAGAATCAGTAAATAATGAAAGAAAAATGGAGAGGCAGTGTAAAAAGCTATTTGATGATAACTCTGATCATTTAGCTCCCTGGTAGTGAATGAAACTTGAAGAAATAGAGCAGTGTGTAATTACATGAATCACCACATCACTCTAAAATCTGTATGGCAAGTTACCTGTAGAATGGCTAAATGTACAAATTTTTCCCTTAGACTTACTTACTTCCTACACAATTTCAGAGGTAATGAAGACTTTACAAGTCAAGTCCACTGTGAAACTAATGTCTGAATGTTCTCTACATTTCCAAGTGTATACAATGGGAAACACTTTTTCCCTAGGTTGCTCGTTGTTGTCATCGTTATTATCGTTGTCATCATTTTTTCTCATACTGAGCTAAAATGTGTTAACATGCATCTTTAACCTATGGTTCTATTTCTGCCCTCTGCTCTGGGGCATATAAACCAATCTCATTTGAACTTAAAAGTTCTGCAGTTACTTACAGATAGCTGTTCCCCCTGCTGTAGAACAGCTGGCTCCCACTGGCTCCCCCACTGGCTCCCAGTTCTTCTTCTGTATAAACATGTCTCACCATACTATCTACAGGTACTAAGTAATCTTCCCTAACCCACAGTGCTTTAGCAAGCAGCCAAGCAAATGCGAGTTAAAACATCCAGTTCTTGTTTAGCAGCAAGTGTTCAGCCAAGGATAGGAAACATAGCAAACAGCAATTTATCAGCTACTCCTTATTAATATTGGTCTCCAAGTAACTTTGCTTTCCCTCTCACTTCATTTTAAAGTTTTAAAAAATGAGATGTTACTAGCCTGATTCAGGGCCTAGTGGAATCAATGCAGCCATGCAGCATGCATATACAAAATCATGAAGTCCCAAGTTGACTGATCAATACTTCTTGTTGCCACTTCCATTTGTATTGTGAAAGTAGAGTATGTGCCTTTTTCAAGCATTCTTAACCAGTATTGATTGTTTAACTGGAAAACAACAACAAGGAGTTAGTATCAGTCTTCAGGCAGGTTTATTAGAAAAAAGAAAAACATTGTTTGGTCAGATTTTTAACACAGATGAAATGTAACCATTGTAACAAACCCACTCAAATAATAATTAAAAGCAGAATTTTTAAGACTCAATAAAATAGACCTATATGTGAAGAAACAAAAGAAAGTATGACTGATGAAAGATCTGAGGAAATAACCCATAGAACATAGTCTCATTCTGTTTAGACTTTTTCCCTATTTTTCTGATCCTTAATTGTTGATCATTTTGTATGAAAACCATCTTTTGTTTTGTTTTGTTTTTTTAAAGAAAGCATGTTTATATATGCTTTTTATTGCTGGATCTCTACCTGGCTTGTTAGAGCCCAATGGAGAAAGAGACATTGAAAATCATCTTGATTAAATAGCTTGTTACAATTGAAAGCCTTGCTGAAGGTTTAAGATGAAGGAAGATAGCAAAGGATGGAATGTAATTATCCTTGCCTTCCCTCATCTTTGGCTGGTGGTTTTCTAAAGTACTATTATATAAATTACTCCAATGATGCTGTGGAAAATGAGTTAGACAAGATTTTTAAATATAACTAATTTATCTCTCTCTCCCTTCTCTCATCTACATCTGTCTCTCTGTTTCTCTTGCTTACTCTCTTTCCTCTTGCTCTCTCTCTCATTCCTTTCTTTCTTCACAGTGACTGTTTTGAGCCCAGCAGAAAAAGGTAAGAGGGTGTTGTAAATTGTATCGATCAGGACTGTGTACTTTTTTCATCTAAAAGTAAATTACATAAAAGCCTATAGACTGAGCAATTTTCCCAGGAATACACTTAGGTGAAGAGAAAGTTTAGAATGATGGTTTTCGGGAAGCTTGCCCAGCAGAACATTTTCAATGACCCCTTTGGCTGTAGGACAAGAATGGAAAATTATCAGGATTTATGATGGAGAAGGACACAGATAAGACTCTGACACAGTGACCCTAGGCTGTCTCTTTCTTCACTGTTGTCCTAGGTATGTTGCCTTTCTGCCCAATCCATTTCCTATTTAAGGCATGGAGTAAAGGCCCCAGATGGGACTTTATAGCCTAACTCCTTCACCGTCACAGTTCCAATAAATTTATTGTGCTTCTCTCCACTCCTCACCACCACCTTGGCTTGACCAGCAAAATATACTACCTTTATAAAGAGATTGTGGCATTTTCCATTTAAGAAAGTATAAGCTAATCATTAGCCTAATAAACCTTTAGCTTTACATTATTTTATCAGTAATAACCATGAATGTTTATGTAGCCACTTTATATAGCCACTTTTAATTCTAATGTCAGGGGAATTAATTGTTATAATTTGTTAACCTAGCATTCATATTATACTATTTTATTCCAACTCTGAAAATGTATGAAATTAACATAAATTAAGTCAACATCATATTAAGGAGATAGAGGAATTATTGGTGGCATCAGCAAAATGTAATACATTCTGAGGGTATCACGTTGTGATTGGTAGAATCCCTTACACTTGCTCAGCCAGCAGAGAAGTAGCTTACAAATCTCTACTCACCATACAGGCAATAGAAATTCTCTGTTTTTGTTTTTGTTTTCTCAGTCTTCTGTGAATATTCCTGACAACTTGAATGCATTGGGCTGTACCTGATCCAAATTATACATGCAGAATAGTAATATCTCAACTATCCATTTTAAACCAGGAAAGAAGCCAAAGATTATTCCCCAACGGATATTGGCCTGTGTACTTTCTTATACCCAAGATCAATGAATCAGTGAAACTTGGGTCAGCATTATCAACAAGAGGACTAGAAATAAACTTTTTTTTCCTTTAATTTTTATTTTTTTAGAGACAGGGTCTCACTATATCACCCAGGCTGGAGTGCTGTGGTGCCATTATAGCTCACTGCAGCCTCAAATTTCTGGGCTTAAATGATTTTCCCATCTCTGCCTTCCAAGTAACTGGAACTACAGTCACATGCCACCATTCCCAGATAAATTTTTTGTAGTGATAGGGTCTTACTTTTCTGCCCAGGCCAATCCTCCCACCTCAGCCTCCCAAAGGGCTGGGATTACATGTGTGAACCACCATGCTTGGCCCATTTTTTCTCTTTTTTAACAAAACCATGGTTCATCTGCCCACAAAATCTGTGTAATTTTTATCACCATGTCTCAGAAAACAAATCACTAAGATTTAAGAAGAAGTGAGAGGAAGAAACAGGTTTATTAAGTACTTAGAGAATGTCAGTTACTTTCACACACTTAAGTCAATTATCACAACAACTTTGACAAGCAGGTGTTTTAATCATACACACACATATACATACATGTGATCATATATGTACACATACGATTATCAGCAAGGTAAACCAGCTTCTTGAATACCCATAGTTATTAAGGGCAAATCTAGAGTTCAAAACCTAGTCATCTTGGTTCTAAATCCACTGTATTTTGCACAACACATTAATGCCCAAAACAGAAAAAAAGTAGAGACTTTGTCAGCACGGAACAAACAAAATCTGAAAGGGACTATCATTAAAGTTTATAAACATAAGAAGTTTATGTATTTTGTTAGATTGATGTCATTCACCGGATTCCAATACACGGGGACTAGAAAGCTCTTTGAAACTTAACACTGCTGTTTAAGACAACTAATATGAAGCTCTGCTTTGCACAGTGCCTGGCAAACTTATGAGACCCATTATTCCCAGATAATTGATAATCTAACCAGCTTCATAGAAGGTTTATGTAAATTGGTGAGTAGTAGAGGCCTAATGGATAATTAGAAGAAATTAGGATACCTGGAAGACAACCCTAAAGTGGATATCATGAGGAAAACTAAGCCCATTCTAAAGATAATATCATGTATTAGCACCAGAATTTGATTGCAGCATTAGAGATACTCCCAGCCGGTAGCCAGGTAAACATTGGACACAACTCTTGAGAAAATCTTGAATTCTAGAGGGTAGCTAAATCACGGAAACAACTCTTTTTAAAAAATATTTTCAACTTTTCTTGTAGATTCAGGGGGTACATGTGCAGGTATGTTAGCTGGATATATTGTATGATGGTGAAGTTTGGGGTCTAATTGATCCCATCACCCAAGTAGTAAGCATAGTACCCAATAGGTAGTTTTTCAACCCTTGCTCCCCAGCCCCCCACAGCAGTCTCCAGTGTCTGTTGGAAAACAACCCTTGAACAATTCTTGTACTGTCATGAGAATGATATCCTTGGGCACACCTTATGGGTCTCTTCCCCATTATCTTCATTCCTTTAAATAGCTGAAAAACAAGGTCTAGCTTTTTGTTAGAGTTGGTAAAACAAAGAAAGTAAAGTGAAACAGTGAACTCAAATATTAGAATTAACACCTCATTGCTAAGTGTTACACTCAAAGAGAGATGTGACTGTCTAGCTGACAAATTTTCCCTTGGTCTGCATCTTAATAACCCTTCCGGGTGGCTTTGATGCAAACTGAAATTTGAGAATCACTGCGCTAAGGAAAAGCACTCTGGACTGGGACTGAAGAAACTTGGATTCTGGTTCCATTGCTTCCATAACTTTGCTGGGTAATTCTGATCAAATCACTCGCCCCTCTGGGCCACAGTTACTTCTCTGTAAAATGAGATTGCTGAACCAAATAATCTCTTTGGTCTCACCGTACTCTAAAATATTGGTATAGTTCCTATTTTACCAGTCTATAGAATGACCTAGACTTAGTCATTCAACCTCAAAATCCTTCATTTTCTACCCATTTATTTAAAAGTACCCATAATTTCTATGAAATCTTGTAACATAGGGATGAGAGCCAGCTGTTTCCAGTTCCATGATTGAACTAGTTGATGTGTAGTAGTACCTGGAACATGTTAAAGTCCCACATTCCCCATCTCAATCATTGGAATTACAAATATGGTTAATGCCCTTAAGATACTGCCAAATGTTAGTGTTCAGTTCTTAGTCACTCAGTTGATCCAAATTGGTTAATTGCATTACCCTTGAAGTGTATAATGAAAGGGTAAACATGAAATTGTTTTCTCCTGATCTCTTTAAAAATCAAGGATTTCATGCTCCAATTCCATACCGAAGGAACATGGATTAACATAACTTAGTCATACAATTTTCCCCATACAAACCTCAGAAAATCAAAGAAAACAAAACAATAGCAAGAGACAACACATTAAAAAATCATTTAAAGGCATTGCTTAAGAGAAAAAAAAATTATGATAACACTTCACAAAGGCTAGACTAGAGACAATCCCAGGGGGTAGCCAGCTCAACATTGGATGCAACTCTTGAAAAAATCTTGCATTCTAGATGACAGTGGAAGAGTCACTCTCACTTATTGATGGTGAGAATATAAATTAAATACAAATATTCTTAATGGCAGTTTGGCAGTATCTACCAAAAGACATCCCTTTTGACTTTGTGCTTCAGAGAATTGATCCTATAGATATTGTTTGTGCATGTGCTGATGACATATAAAAATTATTCATTGAAGCATTATTTGTATTAGCAAGAGAAGGGGAAAAAACATTCCTTAGAGACAGCCTGGTTAAATGAATCATGGTAACTTACAGTAAGTGAAAAAGAAAGAAGGTACAAAACAGTGTGTATAGAATATTGCTATTTGTGGAAAAAAACACACTATTTGAATGATTTTGTATGTATAAAATCTTAAAGGATACATAACAAATTCATGGCTTTTTGATGTTGGTTGCTTCCAGGGAAGAGAACTGGGTGGCTAGGGGACAGGTATAAGAGCGAGACTTTTCACTGTATAGTATTCTATACCATCAGGTAACCTTGTAAATATATTACCTTTGAAAAACGATACAATGAAAAATGTTAAAATATTACAAAACTTTCATGTTTGCGGTGTACATATATTTGATAAATATATAAAAATAAGAAGATCGGGAATGATGCATTCCAAACACCAAAGAGGTGTTATGCCTTAGAATGGGGAAGTAAGAAGTTAGATGAATGTGTGAGGTGGACATTTACCTTTTACTTTATATTGATTGAATTTTAAAATGGGATTTCATAATTACAAAAATCAAGCATATATAAAAGGTCTTGTCCTATAGGGCTGGAAGCACTGGGCCAGGAGAGTAGGGATTTTTCTTTCTAATTTAATTATAAATGTATGAGAGGCTCAGTCTTATTAAGTTGGTCTTGAGTCACATTGTTCCCTTGAGTCTTTCTGATGGATTGAAGTAGTAAGACCATGCCATTCAAGGACTCACAGTCTTGCAGTCTTATAACCGCCTCTTTGGAGAATACCAAAATATCCCATATGAGAAGACCTATCTAAAAGGCAAACAGTATGAAAACAAAGGCAGTGGAGAGCCACTTTTAAAACTCTCAAAAGTACAACCTGCAAATCAAAAATATATAATCTTCAATGGAATGCTAGTCAGCCGTAAGAAAGAATGAAATCATGTCTTTTGCAGAAAGATGGATGGGACTGGAGGCCATTATCTTAAGCGAAACAACTCAGACACAGAAAAACAAATATCTCATGTTCTCACTCATAAGTGGAAGCTAAATACTGTGTGCACATGGACATAGACTGTGGAATGATAGATAATAGAGACTGGTATGGTTGAGGGGGTGGGGGGTAGATGATGAGAAATTACTTAATGCATACAATGTATATTATTCAGATGATGGATAATCTGAAAGCCTTGACTACACCTTGTGTAACCTATGCATGTAATGAAACCTTACTTGTACCCCATGAATTTATACAAATTGTTTTAAAAGAAAAAACGTGTTTAGCCTTTAACACCTGGCTATATTATAGACAACCTGTGTGACTTTGGTTAATCAACCACCTCTGGTACTTAATCGACTATCCCTATCTTATTACCTATCTTAAAAATTTATTGAGAAAATAAAATGAAATAATATATGTGAAAGCATGTTGTAAACTCTAAAGTGCTGTGTAAATTGTGTCATTATCACCTTTCAGTATCCAAAGTAGAAAAGATAATGACAATTGACCGAAGTACTTTTCCCTACATTGTCATAAAGGACATTTCCCCTTTTACTTCGAGAAACACATGGCAACTTTTAAGGTATGCAACTTGCAGAAAGTCTTTGTTTAAAATTTGGCATTATGACTTGTTTCTGTCATTATATGGGAAAATAGAATTAACACTTCATAAAAATATCAGAGAATACATGTTAATAGGAAAACAAAGTAAATGTTTGTCATGGAGCTTTGTGTTTTTGAACTCTTAGAAATGGATAAAAAGATAGTATAAACACTGATTTTTTTTTTTTAATTTCAGTTGTCTACCTCATACTCTACCATGCCATCTTTGTGTTCTTTACCTGGACCTACTGGAAGTCTATCTTTACACTCCCACAGCAGCCAAACCAGAAGGTAAGTATATTGGTTACTTCTTAAAGGACAAGAACAGAGAAAAGTAGAAATGACAATAAAGCAAGAAGAGGACAAAAGGAGGAGCAAATAAACTTCCATTACAAAAGAGTCAGGGTAATCTTAAAGAACTCGTAGTGATAACGGTAAACTGAGGGTAGGATAGGCTATTGAAGGAGTTTGGGAATCACCAGCTCTGGATATCTTTAATACTAGGAAGGCAACTGGGTGCTGTGGCTCATGCCTGTATTCCCAACATTTTGGGAGGCCTACGTGGGAGAATTGCTTGAGGCCAGGAGTTTGAGACCAGCCTAGGCAGCAAAGTGAGACTCTGTCATTACACAGTATTTTTAAATTAGCTGGGCATGGTGGAGCACATCTGTGTTTCCAGCTACTCAGGAGGCTGAGACAGGAGGATTACTTAAACCCAGGAGTTTGAGGCTACAGTGAGCTGTGATGGTGCCATTACACTCCAGCCTGAGTGACAGAGTATCTCAAATTTTAAAAAGACTGGGAAACCACTACCTGCATTGGTGATATAATTAGAAAACAAGAACTCGCTTGGATTCTGAGGCCTCATCTAGTTTAATTCAATCAAACTACTATTTTGACACCAGTGTTTATTTATTTAATGTTGTTATTCATTCCAGTGAGACTCTTGAAATACAACTCTGACAAAAAAGCACAATAGTTAAATCAATTATTGTCAGACTGTGTTATCTTGAATGCAGATGTTTCATGGAATATTTATAAGGATTCATGAAAGAATTTGTGATCATATCAGGCATTTATAATGTGTAACTACTCCAAACCAGGATAGATTCCAAGGTATAAAAATAACAATAGGGGAAACTTTCCAGGCTCCAAATATTAGGAAAAATACTGTCTCCTCAGTGGAACCAAAATGGTGCATAAGAACATTAAAATCAACTACAGAGAAAGGCAATAATGTAGGAATTGAGGAACATCAGAGATATGAGGTGTGAAGGACATAAAGATCAAAATGACAGAAGTTCTTCATAATAAGTAATTACTTGAAACATAAATTGATTAAACTATTCAATTAAAAGGTTGAGATTGACAGAATGGTTAAAAATTTGTGACTTACCTTTATGTTGCTTATACAAGGCTAACTTAAGAACCAGAGATAAAAATAGGTTGAAAATGAAAAGCTAGAAAAAGATATTCCTAGTAAATAGTATTCAAAACAGAGTAAGAGTGGCTACACTAATATCATACAGCAGAGATTCTTTAAGTCAAAAAATGTTACAAGAGACAAAGAGTCAATTTATGAAGAATATGTAACAGTTATAAAATATACGCATGTAATAAGAGAGCCCCAAATAATAAGAAGCAACAACTGACAGAAGTAAAGAAAAAAATACACAATAACAGTTACACAGTAATAGTTGGAGACTTCAATACCCCATCTGCAATAATGAATAGAGTAACTAAACAGAAACTAAAGAAATGGAGGATTTGAACAACACCAAACCAGCTACATGTAACACACCTGTATAAATCACTTCACCCCAAAACAGCAGAATGTAGTTTCCTCCTAAGTACACATGGAACACTTTCCAGTATAGACTATATGTTAGGCCATAATAAAAGACTCAATAAATTTAAAAGACTAAAATCATACAAAATATCTTCTCTGACTGCAGTGAAACGAAACCAGAAATCAATAATGGAAAGAAAACTATAGTTTCATAAACATGTGAAAATTAAACACACTCTTAACAAATGAATCAAATAAGAAAGCATGAGGAAAATTAGAAAATATTTTGAGATGAATGAAAACAAGAAAAAAACATACCAGAAATTATAGGATGCAATAAAAAAACAGCACTCAGAGAAAAATTTGTGGCTGTAAATACCTACATTTAAAAAGGATAAAAATTTCAAAATAGTCTAACTTTACGTTTTGAAAAATAAAGAGCAAAGTAAAACCAAAGTAAACAGAAGGAAATAATAAAGATTAGAACAGAAATGAACAAAATAAGGAATAGAAAATAATACAGAGAACCAACAAAACCAAAAGTGAGAATCTAAAAAGGTTAACAAAATTGGCAAACCTTTGTTTAGCTAGATTGAAAAGGAAAGAAGGAGGGAAGAGAAGGGAGAAAAGGAAAGAAGGAGGGAAGGGAAAGGAGAAGAAGAGAGAAGGGGAGGGAAAGAAGGAAAAGGAGGAGAGGAGAAAGGAGGGAAGGTAGAAGAAAAGAGAAAAAGGAATACAGGCACAAATTATATTAGAAAGGAAGGGAGGGAGGGAGGGAAGAAAGAAACAGAGGAAGGAACAAAGGAAGGTAAGGAGGGAGGAAAAAAGGAAGACATAAATTACTAATATCAGAAGGGAAAGTGGGGATGTTACTACCAACTTTAAATAAATTGACTTATAAGAAAATAATATGAAGAATTGTGTGCCAACAAATTTGATAACCTAGATGAAATGAAGAAACTTCTAGAAAGACATGAAACACCAAAACCAACTCAAAAAGAAATAAAAAATCTGAATAGACTTTTTAACAAGTAAAGAGATAGAATTAATAATCAAAAACCTACCAATAAAGTAAATCCAAGGACCAGATGCCTTCATAGATGAATTCTATCAAATATTTAAGGAGTGATTAACATCAATCCTTTCCCAAATTTCTTAAAAAAAAAAAAATGAAGAAACACTTCCTCTGGCCAGTGCAAATAGGCAAGAAAAACAAATAAAAGGCACTGAAATTGAACAGGACGAAGAAAAATTACCTCTGTTTGCAGATATGATCTTACATATAGAAAACTGTAAATATTCCAAATGAAAAAAAAAACCCTATTATAAATAATAAATGAATTCAGCAAAGTTGCAAGATACAGAATCACCACATCTTCACACAAAAATCAATTATGTTTTGATATGCTAACAATGAACAATCTGAAAGGAAACTAAGAAATCAATTTCGTTTATAATAGCACTAAAAATAATAAAATACTTAGGAATGAACATAACAAAAAAGGTGAAAGACTTGTACGGTGAAAACAAAAAAAAGTCACTGAAAGAAATTAGACATGAATAAAGGGAAAGGTATCCTGTGTTCATGAATTAGAAAAGTTAATATTGTTAAAATCTAAGTACTACCCAAATCAAGCTACAGATTTAATGCAATTTATATCAAAATCCCAATGATTTTTTTTTGCTGAAATAAAAAATTATTTTTGAAAATTTATATGGAATATCAAGAAATCCCACATACCCAAAACAATCTTGAAAAAGAATAAAGTTGAGGTTTCACACTTCCTGATTTCCGAATTTACTACAAAGCTACAGTAGTCAAAACAATATGGTACTGGCATAAAGACAGATATATAGACCAACGGAATAGGATAGAGAGCCCGACAACAAACACTTGCATATTTGGCCAGAAATCTTCAACAAGGGTGCTAAAAGCATTCTAATGGAGAATGCATAGTCTTCAACAAGTGGTGCTGGGAAAACTGAATATCCACATACAAAAGAATGATGTGGGACCCTTACCTCACACCATATACAATAATTAACTCAAAATAGATCCAAGATCTAAACTTAAGAGCTAGGATTATAAAACTCTTAGAAAAAAACATAGAACAATAATTTTATAACATTGAATTTGGCAATTTCTTGGATATGACACCAAAAACACCATAAAAAAGTAAAAATACATAAATTAGACTATATGAAAATTAAAAATTTTTATACATCAAAGGATACATTCAACAGAGTGAAAAGGTGCTCTGTAGAATAGGAGAAAATATAAGTCATATGTCAGATAAAGAGTTAATATACAGAATATTTAAAAACTCCAACTAAACAAAAAGAAACTCATTTTTAAAGAATAATATCAGCTTTTATTTTAGGTCAGGGGTTACATGTACAGATCAGTTTCAAAATGAGTAAAGAACTTGACAGTTTACCAAAGAAGGTATCTGAATGCTCAAGAATATATTGGGGTTCTCTAGAAGGACAGACAAATAGTACAGATATATATACAAACTTGGAGTCCAATGTTTGAGGGCAGGAAAGTTCCAGCACAGAAGAAAGATGTAAGCTTGGAGACTAGAAAAGTCTAGTCTTTTCACGTTTTTCTGCCTGCTTTACATTTAATGGCAGCTGATTAGATGGTGTCTACCCAGATTAAGGGTGGAACTGCCTTCCCAAACCCACTGACTCAAATGTTAATCTCCTATGGCAGCACCCATTTATGATAAAAGAAGTCCAATGTAATCAACCTGCCACCAGGTAGCTGGCTGATCACCCTGAGGAATGGTGCCATATTGAAGGCTGAGTGTTGATCTCTGATGCTGGCAAAATTGGGCACTCAGCAGTGGCCATAGCCAGGTCAACCTTGATGAGTTGAAGTCTATGTTTTTGAGCCCATATGTGACCTCTGTACTTGCCACCACAGCCACCTTTTTCATGGGCCCATGGTGTGATTACAGGGTTGACTGGGGCAAGAGGCTGAATCATGTCCACAGAACAGGTTATCCTATCCACTTGATTATTAAAATCCTCCTTTGCTGAGGTCACCCGTTGGTGAGCACTCACATGGGATACAAATATCTTTACCATTTTTGCCCATTCAGAGAGGTCTTTCCACTTACCTCTTCCCCAAATTTCTTTGTCACCAATTTTCCAATTATACTTCTTCCAAATCCCTGACCATTCAGCCAAACCACTGTCTATAGCCCATGAATCAGTATATAATTGCACATCTGGCCATTTCTTCTTCAATGCAAAGTGCACAACCAGGTGCACTGCTCAAAAGTTCTGCCCACTGGGAAGATTTCTTTTCACTACTGTTTTTCCCAGATATCGTAGAAAGGGGCTGTAGTGCTGCAGCTGTCCACTTTGGGTGGTGCCTGAATTTTGTGTAGAATCATCTGTGAACCAGACCCTAATTGTCTCTTCCTCTGTCAGCTGATCACAGTGAACCCTTCATGATGCCATCAGTGCAGACTGGGGGAGAGACGGCAAGGTG